GAAACTGCTCTGGTAGATTGAATCCACATCAGTATTAGGATGTGTGCGCTCCGATTGGCTGGCTCGTTCAAACCTTCGAAGTCGCGTGTGACTAACAGTTGTCTGTTCGTCATCACTGTCTACGCGTCCACAAACTCTAGCGATGATACAGTAAAAGACGACTTCTATCGCCAAATTAACGAGCAGCTTCGCCTTAGAAAAAGCACGGACTCTGCAGTGCTGGCTGGGGATCTCAATGCACACCTTGGAAAATTACCCACTGATCTACTACATTTGAGCGGTCAACATGGCGTAGGCTCCAGTAATGATACCAGTGAGCGTTTACTTCATTTGTGTGAAAATGCCCGCTTAGTTCTTGCGAGAAGTAATTTCCGACGCACCGCCCGCCGGAGGGTGGCTTGGCACCCACTAGCCTCGAACCAAGCATGGACACGAATCGGTCACATTGCGATAAGTTACCGCTGGAGAGGCTGCATCCAGAACGGTTGCTCGATTTGGAGCACATGTGTGCTGACATGCGGATGCATTTTGGCCGACGCCCACGACGACGCTGTGAACGCATCAACACCAGCCAACTGTTCTGAATGCTTATCAAAGTGCGCTGACATACGAGTTGAGTAAGCGCTCATTGGATACAATCGCAGCTCACTGGTCTCATGTTCACCAAGCCTTACTAGCAACAGGCAACATACAGCCTACAACAACAACAACAGCAGCAGCGGCAACAACAAACACAACAACAACGACAACGGAGAAACGGGTTGTTCTGCCTTATATGAAGAATATATCGGAAATGGCAGCCAGACTATTCAAACAGCATCATCTCATCGTAGCACACAAACCAACTGCCACGTTGAGAAAAACCCTTTCAAAACCGAAAGAAAAACTACGGGCACATGAACAACGCAATGTGATATACAAAATACCTTGCCGAGATTGCGAAAGGGATTATGTTGGCCAAACGGGAAGAAAATTGGTAACAAGGATACAAGAACATAAGAGAGCCTGTATAAAGCATTATGCATCGTCGCTAGTTTCAATACATGTAGATGAAGAAGGACATAGGTTCGATTGGAGCAAAGCAGAAGTCCTGGCACGGGGTGAAACAAGAAAAGAAAGAGAATTATTGGAAGCTTGGTTCTCAACGAAACATACAATAAACATGCGTATGGACATCGATTCAGTATACGAACCACTACGACAGAAAGAAATAAAGAACCTTTTGTCACGCCGTTTGAGGCAGAACAAATCTGGCGCCGACTTTAGCCTTGGGGAAAGTGGGTAGAGGTCACGAGACCCAAAATCGACACTACCGCGTTCGAAGTCACCTGCAGGTCGATCATGGAGGGAGGATTCATTTAGTAAGTTTGTACGCTACATATCACTGCACTGAGGATGCCACCTCGCATGGTAGTGAAACGTTTGCGAGAAAACCGCCAAGCTCGGAGAACAAATGAACAATTGATTCATCAACCCGAGCTACCGGTATTTCGAATCATTTTAGGCAAATCCTCATGTGGTAAGTCTAATGGTCGACGTGTATATTGGGTCTCTTCGTAGTCTTTGGAACGTATCGATGCTTGCCGGCACATTCCAGTTGGAAGTGAACATAATGAGACTCGCTGGAACCTCTGGGCAAAACTCCGTGCTAGCCGGAAGAGAGTTCACGAATCTTGGTGGTCTCATCGTGCGTCAGAGAGGGAAATGGCCGCTGGCCTTGGTAACTATCGGAAGTTATTCCGTCTGATACGGGAAACTGGCAGCAAGAGACTTGGTGGAAGTGAAACTATACGTGACGAGAGTGGACAGCTTATTCGCAACTTGTCAAAACGTTTGGAGCGTTGGGCTTAGCACTTTGAAAGGCAATTTGATCTGTCGGAATTGTCAGATTTTTCGCCGGCCGATGATCGTCCTGCTCCGTGGGCCGTCCCTTTGGATCCGCCTTCTCGCTAGGAAGTCGAATGTGAGATTGGACTGAAAAAATTAACTAAAGCCGCGGGGTTAGATGATCTACCTTAAATCCTCTTCATATTCTGGGGACCTGCTCTTGTGGATGAGTTACACGAGTTACTAGTGAAACTGTGGGAGCAGGAAACTGTCTCAACCGACTGGAGCCGCTCCGTCATACTTCCAAATTTCAAGGGTGGCTCGCATTTGGGATGCGGCAACCATAGAGGAATCAGTCTGATTTCGATCATCTCCAAATTGCTTGCATCTCTCATCCTTCACAAAGTGACTGGCACTCGTGAAAGCCAGATTCGTGACGAGCAAGCTGGGTTTCATCGAGGTCGTGGCTGCATCGACCACATCTTCGCTTTGCGTCAGCTGTTGGAGCAGCGTCAGATATACTGGCGGCCCACTGTTTTGTTCCGCGAAATCAAAGGTGTATTGGGTTCGGTTGATCGATCTGTCTTTTGGGACTGTCTACTCAGGGAAGGGGTGCCAGAAAAATATGTAAATATTATCCGAGAATTATACACGCGTAGCACGGGCTGAGTGAGGGCTTACAGCAAGCTGTGGCAACTCTTCAATATCTCCAATGGTGTGAGACAAGGATGCTAGCAGTCACCATTCCTCTTTAATTTCGGTATTGACGAAGGCATAGAAATCGCATACACAGGATGGGACTTAGCCATCTTGACTTAGAGTTTGCTGCCGATATTACCCTCATCTGTGACAGCCCCCAAACGTGTCAAGCTGCACTGGACAGGTTAACACAAGCTGTCAATCACTTCGGGCTTTGCTTCGCATCATCGACCTGCAAAGCTTTCCTCCAAGTTTGGACTGAACCGCTTCCTGTGCTGACCCTTGGTGGGGATCAGCTAGATGTCGTCCAAAAATTTAACTACCTGAGAAAGTGCATCAGCGCCCGTGGGATTGAAGATGAGATCACGAAACGTATAGCAAAAGCTCGAAGTGCTTTTGCTAGTCTTCGCCACCTATGGCGCCGGCTCGACATCACTCTCGCCCTGAAGGGTAGAGTGCACAATCAAGCGGTACGTTCGACCCTACTGTACGGTTGTGAAACCTGGCCCATTAGATCAGCGGACATAAAGAGGCTAGTCACGTTCGACTATCGGCGCCTTCGCAGTTTGGCTCATATCTGGTGGGAACACCGCGTGAGCAACGAGCGTGTTCGACACCTTGTTTTCGGCACGGGAGAAGGAAATGGACTGTTCAGCACCGTCATTTCACGCACCACGCTCCGATGGCTCGGCAACGTGTTGCGCATGCCAGCCTACCAACTTGCGCGACTTGCGTCATTTGCTCACCGGGGGTGTGGGTGGAAGAAGAGGAGGGGTGACCAAGCAATGACTTGCTCGAGAGGAATGAAGGCCCTCACTTTGGAGCTGGCCTCGGTTGGAGTTTCACCTCTAGCTGCTTGGGGTCCAAAAGACGATGAACACGCTTGGCTAGATACACTTGCTGATATGGCTAGGAGTCGACCTAAATGGCGTTCGTGCTGAGAGTTTCTTTGTCCCTCCCCATGCATTTTAGCCTCCCCCTCCAACCACGATCTCAGTTTGTAACGTAACATAATTTTACAGAATGATTTTTCTTGTTGCCTAGTAGCCGGCTGGTAGCTTTCCGGAACGATGGCCATCCGTTACTAATAGCTCAGCTGGTATACATCTGTTACATTTTTCCATTTTTTCTTTTATATATTGCGGCACAGTAGCAGAGGTGTTTTCCACCTCTAGCTAACGTGTGTAATGAGATTGATGTAAAGTGATCCCAATCCTGTATAAAGTCATTTGCCGAAACTCGGCAACAACACCAACCTCAGAGGTTACTGCTTGAAACTGACTGATCACTAGAGTCGTCTAGAATGCTGATGGAATTACTTTTCTCTCCGAGTTTGCCAACCTTGGAATTTTCCCCCAAACTCACTTGTCTTTTCCCCCATTTGAATCTTTTCAAAAAGCGAGTGAACGTTATCGTGAGCTCCTAACACTCCGTTACCTTAATGTGCTACTGTGGAATGTAATACACATGCTTCATACAGGATTTAGCTATCACGTGGACCCAAGGAAGCGGTATATGAGGGAGCGTCCTAGCTCATTTTTCTCTCGTAGAATACGTCAGTTATAGCTACCCCGTACTTTACCTTGTATGCTTGCATTCAATTCTCGCTGTACACAATCGCTATTCAACAGTGCACTTAACTCGGTGAATCACCTAAACGGTCGACCTTCGTACAAAATTTGATTTTGTGGTTTTCACCCCAGCCATCCAACCAGAATTGTTAAGCGCATGCTGTTTTACACGTGATAAATCACTGTTCATCTGGATGTACACGGATAATGGAACGACTCCATTAAAACTACGTGACGGCCAATATCGGATGAAGCTAGCTTTAATGTGCTAAGCATAATTGTGATTTGGCCAGGATAGTTTCAAAATGCCAGAGCACAGACAGCAACTGATTAGAGTATTCGACAAAATTTCCAAGCTCCGAAGTCCAACCGCAAGTCTGCGGGCATATGATATCATTCTGAGCGAGGGGTGTTTTCACCAAAATGAGGCAGCCACACCCCAAGCCCAAACTAATGTACCGCTAGTCTGATCATGTCTGACTTGCAACCATTAAAAAGTCCTGTAGGAGTAGCTCTCAGAGTGCCCAACAGAACCACTTATTGGAGCTCAATAGATCGTCGACGCCCACCACATTGAAGTTCCATTTGGTCAAGGTGTAATTGAGAACTGCTGTCTGGCCATAAACAACTTGTGGCACAGTGACATGTTGTTTCAACTCCATCATGAACGGTGGTCACAGTAACTCGAATGAGCGCAGCAAATGAGGCACCGCTGATCACACACTGAACCTGATTTCAACAGGTGAGGAAGGGTTTCCAAAATGTATATGAAGAGCGCCCAACAGCTACATCAACTGGAGCTAATTTGATCCAAGTGGGTAAGGACGGGGTGTAATGTAATAAGGTCAGCATTTCATGAATAGCGTATTCACACATACAAACCGTAATAAAGTTGCCTCTTACCTGACGATGAGCATATGAAAGTGGGATTTGAGGCTTCGGTGCTACCTGAGGTGCCGTGGACCCAATACTATGGCGTGAGGTTGAGATATGGTCCGACTCCGGAGTTGCCGCATACACAGTCCAGTCTGCAGGTTCCAGTCGCTCTGGTGGGTGATACTGTGGAAAGTCTGCTGTTGGAGTGGGAGGAGGGGATCCGAAGGTGTTCAGTTTCACCATGGTGGGTGGGGAGTCACGTGGAGGTTGCCTTAGTCCGGGTTGGGACATCTGAAGTAGGAGGTCGCAAGACCGCATAGTGAGTGCAGCAAACAAATTTTGGACAGATTTAGGCAAAAGGTGGCGGGAATGATACTCAAACTCACGTTATCTATGGGGCGCATGCCGAAAGAATCTTGAGACTGTCTTGCATTCCCGAGTTGTGGTGAAGGGCTTCTTCGAATTATTGAACCATGGTTAAAGCCAGTCGAGCGTGGAGGCAGTGAATGTATTGGTAGGCTGGTGGGAACAACGTCCGCGCGTGTCCCAATACCACTGCTGGCAGAGAAATGTAGACCCGCGGCATCCAAGCGCGTGAGAGAAGTGCCATGACTTGTCCTTCAATAGGAAACAAGGTGGAAGAATGCGCTTATTCCATACGTTCTCAGGTGATTAGGTCAGAACACCTGGGAACTGTTATACCTTATAGTACATTTTTCCCTAAAAATAACCGTTGGAATAAGCTTGTAACGGCTATGTAGAAATGTCAAATATCCCTTGCTTTGTCAATTGCGCAGCTCCGACAAATAAGCTTCACCAACTCATTACCTGTATACATACAACTGCCGATAAGAGCCCCAAGAGACGGTTCCACGGTAGCCGCATTACTTCACCAACTTTATTCAACTACCATTTTTATCCTACTTTCAGACTGTCCTACTTTCTCAAACTTATACCGATCAAATTCCACGAAAAAGCATGTTGGAACTGCTCTGGAGAATTTGAACTAACATCTACCCTTTGAGATCTCGTTGTATCAACTGATCAGACCAAAGACTTCGACTGTATATCGCACAGTTAATATATATATATATATATATATATATATACATATATATATATATATATATATATATTTAGAATACCACGCCGAAAGCTGCCAACACAAGGAATTCTTTGACTCCTTGAAGGCGGTGTATGGACCGAGATTGGAGCCACTGAGGACACAGATCGATGGTAGTTCAGGCGCTACCTGCACACAGACTGCAGACATAATGCAGATCTGGCAAAATCACTTTGACTGTCTCTTGAACAACCGTTCAGAGATCGACTGGCCTACATTGAACGGCCTGAAGCAGCACGATGTGAAGGTGAGTCTGGCGGACACGCCGACACTGGATGAGACGCAGAGGGCACTTGCTCAGCTGCGAAACGGCAAGTGTGCTGGGGCCGACGGGATCCCGCCTGAAGTATTGAAACACGGCGGACCCATGTTGTTGATTCCGCTGCACCACTTGGTGCAACGCGTGTGGATTGAGGAGGAGGTGCCTCCTGAGCTGAAGGATGCCCTTGTACTTCCACTGTACAAAGGCAAAGGCAGCAAACAATGTTGCACGAATTATCGTGGCATCAACTTGCTGAGTTGAGTGGGCAAGGTGATTGCCCGAATCCTGCTCAATCGCCTCGTCAGTCAGGTTGTGGAACCTAACGTGGCAGAGGAGCAGTGTGGATTCCGTTCGGGTCGCAGCACTATAGATATGGTGTTTACGGGTCGTCAGTTGCAGGAGAAGTACAGAGAATGACACCAGCCATTCTACTCGCTTTTTGTTGATTTCACCGAAGCATTTGATACGGTGAACCGCGAGGCATTGTGGCTGGTGTTGGGTAAGTTTGGTTGCCCGCGTAAGTTTGTAAGTTTAATTGAATGTCTGCACAGTGGTATGCGAGCGAGGGTGCAGCTGAGTGGAGAGACCTCGGATGACTTTGCAGTTGTCTCTGGTGTGAAGCAAGGCTGTGTCTTAGCTCCTGCCCTGTTTAATATCTATCTTCATGCAATGTTGTCTTGTGCTTTTGATGCGGCTTGTGTTCGTGTGGAGCACCGTATTGATGGTGGGCTGCTGAACACCCGTCGTTTCGGTGCGAGAACTATAGTCTGTGAAGCAACTATCCGTATGTTGCTGTTTGCTGACGAATGTGCGTTGTTTTCACACAGCGCGGATGAGTTGCAGCAAATGACTAGTGCTCTGGCTTCGACAGCGGCCAAATTCGGACTCACCATCAACACAAGCAAAACTGTCTGTTACTTGCAGCCTTCACCGGAGGTGCAATCTTCAATAATGCCGCGAATCAGCATTGGTGCTGAAGTATTGGAAACCACTCGCCGTTTCTGCTACCTCGGCAGTGTGATGTCGACTGACCATCAGCTTCACAGTGAGCTTCGTATCCGTGTGTCGAAAGCAGCGGCGGCATTCGGGAAGCTAGGGTACCGAGTGTGGAACAACCATCAGCTTAGCATTGGCACGAAGCTGATGGTGTACAAATCCATGGTGCTGTCCGTTCTTCTATACGGCAGTGAAACGTGGACAATGTACCGGCGGGAAGTGCGATATCTCGAGCGGTTCCATCAACAGTGTCTGCGACGAATTTTGCGCATCAGTTGGGGCGACAGAGTTGCTGACACAGAAGTGATGCGACAAAGTGAAATGTATGCAGTGGACTGCATACTTTTGCTGAGACACCTGAGGTGGCTCGGTCATGTGTGGCGTATGGATTCAACGCGGATACCGAAACAGCCATTATATGGTCAGCTGAGTATGGGGAAGCGGCATGTGGGGAAACCAAAGTTACGTTACCAGGACATGATTAAAGTGAGCCTTTCACGTTCTAATCTTGATTGCAGATCATGGGATTTGAAGGCGGTTGATCGGCGTGCATGGCGCGATCTAATCACGAAGGCAGTTGACGAAGTGCGGGAGAAAGACCTCACACATGCAGAGAAGAAGCGGCAATTGCGGAAACGGCATGCACCGATGGGTTGTACTCCATTGACATCGAGCGAATGGTGCTGTAGCACATGCGGTCGCGAGTGCCTGAGTCAGGCAGGTCTAGTGAGCCATGAGTGAGGCCACTCAGGACCACTACCGAAGCGACGACGGGTCCTGCAGAGAACGCAGACAGAACCGGCGCAGCGTTTGTAGGTACGCTGCATTCGATTTACTAACCGCGTGCTTGCATGTTAAGTCTCTTTATTTCAGGTGGTGGATTTTCAATTTTGTCCTAATGCTTTTCTTTCCCATTGCCTACTTATACCCTCTTCTATACACTTGCACACGTCGCTTAAGCCAATTGTAGTTATTTCGATAACATTTTCGTGTTTGTAGCATTTCCGTAAAATAAACTTCCTGACCTCGTGAACTTACCTCGTATTCGTTTGTAGACAACTTATTTCATATGCTCATTAATTTAAGATTTATGTCACCGTTTCCTTATGCATTACACGATTTATTTTCGTGGTTATCTTTCTCTCAAGTGATTGACTGTTGTTTGATATCCCCGGTGTGGCTGCGCTTGATGTGTATGTTGACAAGGTGCCTACCTGTCTATTACTCACTACCGCATCCATACTGGCTCCAGGAGACAGTTGGTCGTTGCTGGAGGGGACGGGGTGCACGGTCCTTGTGGCCGTGCTAGGATCGAAGAGTGGTTCCATGCACTCAGTGTGGAGCGGACTACGGTCCAGCCACCGCCTTGTGTGCGCTTGATTCCCAAATACAGCGTGCTTGTGTTTGCCTGTGAAGGAGTGTGGGCCGGCTCCGTTGATGAAACGTGGCTCCCATCCACATGCCTCCCGGTCTTATTCCTTCGGGTTTACACTGGATATGGGGTGTGTGGATGGAGCCGTGGGTGGTGCAGCGCAAGCCACCGATGGTCCCTCTGTAGACGCAGGCGTCCTGTGACTGGCCACAGTGATAGGCAAATCCGAAACCGGATGCCGCCAACCATATATATATATATATATATATATATATATATATATATATATATATATATATATATATATATATATATATATATATAATCGTGTTATTTCTTCCGTTCATACTTGGGCAGGATTAAATATCTGCCTATCAGAGAAATATTGATCTGAATCACAATTTTCATAGATCTTTTACAGTCTTTTTCTCCGATTAAGCCACTTACTTTTCTGATAGATGTCATCCATTTCTCATCGCAGTAGACCGGCTCAGGATGCATTGAGGTATAGGATCCTGATTGCGTCTGAGGCAGGGAATACCTCGCAGTTGGTTTCATTGACTTTATAGGATTGTCTAAATACGTTAACTTGCTGTGAAGTTACAAATGCTCGGATTTACCAGAGTATTTGGAATGTTTTTACTTTCTGGTACTGGGGATACGATCCTACTTTGGACTCCGACTTGTTCATGAGGTATGGTAAATAAAAATTGTCGAATTTCCAAATCATTATAAGGCTAGGATAAAGGATACCCACTGCTTTCTAAATTAGTTGGAGTATCGGCTATAATTATTGTGTTCAATTAAAATTTAATACAATGCAACATTAACAAGAAAAAGATTTGCCTTTAGATAACTTGGACATGCTGCACATATTTTGCAGCGGTGGTTGTTAAACGTGAGATCTATGAGTCAGTTTACTGATGCGAAATTGTGACGCAAAACTAGCTACTGAAGAGTAAGACAAATATCTGGGATGAATTAATCCTGTCCAGGAACACTTGCAAAGCAAGTTACTATCGAGAGGTAGAAACAATGTGACGCATAGAATTTCCGTAAAACACCATGGCAGATTTTGAAGTGAGGCGGTCATTACTGAGTAGTAGGAGGTTTATTGGGCTTTCGGCAAGACACGTCACAGCTAGACTCAGTCAGACAGCGAAGTCAGTCGTTGTTCTGGGCGCCAGCCCTATCATCTGCACCATCACAACATACGCGACAGTGGAGGATGAGCCACGTGATGTCGCCGTTAGACATCAGTCTTGACGGTCCGCTGCCGTCACCCGTGGCTCGGTGGCATAAGTCGCCGTGGTTCCAGTTCGACAGGATCCGACCTGTGCGCACTACTGACGAGTCCCTACAGAAGCAACCGGCCAGCTAGCGCTTTCATGGATGTCTAGTGGCGACGAATAAGGCTATCATCTTGAATGAGTTGGCTTCCTTGCGCGTCATGTGATTCTTGAGCCGATAACAACTAGCCGATGAGATAACATGAAATGTTAAATCGATTTACTAGATTGATACTCAGTGAGAATCCACGAATAAGGTGGATCGAATTAAGGTGGCGTCACAAAGAAACTTCAAGAAACTATTCTCCAAGGAGAGGAAGAGTCACTTACAAGAAAAGGTGTACAAAAGAACGTAAGACACTAATGAAACTTGCCTTCCACGCTGTGGATCATTGTGTAGCACCGGTACATCAGGAAGGAGTTCTGGCGCGAAGCTGGGTACTCTATCGTCTGGCCAGCGTGGGGCGGAGACGATCGCATGCGCGGGGGGCCTGAGTGACTCCGACACGGAGTCCTCCATGGTGGTGCCAGTAGTGGGTTTGGTCATTGCGAATTGGCCGTGAGAAACATCCGCCACAGTGGGAGGTGTCATTTTTGTCGCTTGTCCGGCAGTTGCGTCTGCGCGAATGTTGTACGGAGTGGGTGATTCCCGATTACTAGTGAACATCTTCCCTCCTGGATTTGTGATGGTATTGCCGATTGTAGCTGGTGCTAGGCTGCCAGGTGTTGATGTAGCGGCGGAACTATACAGTGTAGTTGAAAAGTAAAGAATCACTGAATCAAACGCTTGGTGTAAAATTAAATTAAAATAAGACAACTGGCATACATACAGGTGAATGAAATCAACTACACTTTGTGGTCATAACGTCGTTAGCAGTTGTAGTAGAGGCAGATGGTGATGACAATAAGAGTTAAGAAAGAAAGCACTAACAGAAGATGTTGTGCACAGTGTAGAGCTGTTACGATTCTGGTGTCAAACTACAGTAAAGCTGATTCACCAGTGAAAGAGAAATTGAGATAAACCCCAAACAATTTTGCAAGAAGTTCATCAGGTGTCTACTTCCAACCAGACATCTGATGGAGATCCTCGCATGTTCTGCTTCAGGTCATCTTTGACAAATTTGCATAGCAACCATCTTGTGAAGTGTGGCTTTTTGTGTATAATCGGCAATGCACTGCAGTTCCTCTCAGTAGAGCACAGTCGGCAAATTGCTATGAGTGATAAAAGCTACTCGACAGAATTACTTATAGTAATTCACCCGTCTGAGTACTGGGAAATGTGCCATCAGAAACAAGGCAAAGATGCAAACCAACGAAAACAGAGGGAGGCGGTATTTTTCTGCGTTTCGCCCACGGAGAGATCCTCCACCGATCATGGAGAGATCCCCATCAAGCGGTCGCAAAAAAGTGTCCTCCTGAGTTATTCGCCTTTAAATCTTCGGATATTTTCTCACAGTGACTTACGTACTATCATTCGATTTGGCTCCGCGAGCTCCTCCTACCACTGTTCATCTTTTGGATCTGTCATTCACGGATCACCAGCAAAATTTGCTTTTGCAATTTCGAAGGCAGCCGTGCTTGAATCTTATCGCAGCATTTATTTTTCCTCTCGTCACACGAGAACTCTTGTAGTCTTATTTTAAAGAGCTTTTGGAGACTCAACTGAACATTTTCCTACCATTCCTTCAAGTTGCTGTACAAAGCGATAGTTTTCAATTTAGTCCGCTCTTGGGACAGCAACTGTCGTCATGAGACAGTATTTTCCAAGTCATCCTGCTTTGCCTCAACCCTACGCTGCATCGCTGCCTATCGACTTCCCGGCTGGATCGCAAACACGCACGTCGTCTATCTACCCTAAAGAACGTGTGACTCATCTGGACGCGACACTTCTAACTCCTCTGGCCTCAAACCAGCGCCGATTGCCAGGCGACGAAAAGTGAAGAGAAGTCATACACGGCGCGTCAGTATCTATGTTCGCTTGCTACTCCTGTTGCAGTGCACATCCAGTTACTCCATTCCATCTTGTTAGTGAGGAATCTTTACACCATATCACCACCATCTGCGGTCATCCCTAGTTCGCCGCCCCATTACTGACTGTGACCACATATATCAGTAGTTTCGTCACATCTAGACCCATTCAGACAACCGTCCCACGCACGGACAAGCACTGTACGCGCGTTTCATCCTTTCGGGAATCATCAGCAGTGTGCATTCCATCAGTCGAGCTGCGGGTTCGAGCCCTACCACGGTCCGATGGAATGCGCACTGCTGACGATTCCAGAAAGGATGAAACGCGTGTACAGTGCTTTTCTGGACGTGTGACGACTGTGTGAGTGAGTCTAGATGTGACGAAATTCTACCTATACCATTCAACTCCCCCTACTACTCTTCCATATCAGTAATTATTCCAATGGTTCAAAGTGGCCTATGTTGCGCAAACAATTGCAGTAAAGTCCTAAGGATCGACATAACCTGTTCTAGCTTTATTAAATCATATTGCTCGCAATGTGTAGGCAAATCCGTCCAAGAAGTGAGACAGACAAACCAAGTTGCTGACACAATTTGGTTTTGCCCAACATGTCAAGTGATTCCAATTGTCAACTGTTTATCTTTGATCATGAAAAAGTGCGATAGGATGACTGAGATAATTGCGCATTTTGCGAATACTAAGCTCGATCCCTTGGAGGTAAATATGGCCACGTTAATACCTCAACCAGCCAAAGTAAGCTCTGAATCTCAGCCTAATAAGATAGCTAGATGCTCCAACCGCATTACAGCATCTGTGACTCTAAATCCACTGGGTCACCTCACTTCCATGAGTGCACAAGCCTCAAATATGCCTGCTTCTACTTCCGCAACCATAAACGCTTCTTCTGGAGATTCAGCCATGACACCGACAGCTCAGAGCTGAAGACACTCCGATGCTGATAATAAGCAGGTAACGTACGCATCGATTTTCTCGACAAACACACTGAGAGCGACACACGTAGGTCCATCTTCTATATTGAGCACACGTAGAGCAACGTAACTTTCACCGTCAAATCCAGTCGTGGCTTCTAAACAGCCAAATTGCCGGTAAAAGCTATAAGTCCGACGCTCGCTAGACAAAACCACGCTGCGTTAACTCTCGTGTGCACCAATGTTCCCGAGTCCAAATCTGGCACAATAAAAGGCAAGTTGCAGACGATCGCAACCAGTGGAGCTGCATCTGCGATGCGATTGGTATTCGGGTTGAGCCTGCTATGCTGCAACGCGTGTCGCGTCACCCGACCTCAGTGCACTCTGGTGAACCTCGAATTCTTCGAGTAACACTAGACTCAGCAGATGAGACAGAGGCTGTCCTGCTCTCAGCAGTTCGTCTTCGCAACTCACTCAGCGGAGTGTGCATATTACCCGATCTACCTTGGAAAGACCGCGCAAAAGAAGCAGTGGAGCAACGCGGTATTGCTAATAGGGATAGCAAGAAAACACTATTTATTCATGGTGTTCCCGTGCTTCTGCATTCTTCTGATCACGATGCGCAAACACATGACCGAGAGCAGTGGTGCCACATCCGCGAAGCACTCTCTAATGACAAGGTTATTGTCAAATCATTGATAAGGGTTTCGTCATCACCTAACTACAAGGGCCGCGATTCAAGACCAATGAAAGTAATATTACACTCCGAGGGAATGACGCCACTTCTGTCGAATGTTTAAAGTTTCAAGCCAGGTTGCCAACAGAGATCCGGCGAAAGGCAGCAGGCGAACGACCAAAAGTCGAAAGCAATTGGATAGCACTTACAAACGCTGCAGCTTCTTTAACTGCACAGTCCTGCGGAGCGACCGACACAACAGCGCCCACAGCACACAACAGGAGAGAGCACAACACGAGTGATTAATGACGGGCCACCTAACGGCGGGTTTAAAAACTAACACAGAGTTGACATCCATCAACGCACTCCTAACAATAAAAGCCCTACCATTTTTGTACACAAATGCCCAATGCCTTCTAAGTTAATTGGCCGAACTTAGAGAACTCCATGCCTCACAACCGCGGGACCTCGTCATGATTACAGAGATAAGGTTAAACCTCGAGGTAACCGATTCTGTGATCAATGAACCAGGCATGTCATTGCATCGGAACGATAGAACCGGAAGGGGTATAGTTCTTTACAAACCTCCAATGCGAAGTTATCGATAAACCGGAAGTCCGCGCTCCTGATTCGCTTTTGTACCGCCTATGGTTACGAAACAGGGACACATGTCTACTAGCCGTGATTTATCGCCCACCAAACTCAACGTCTGAAATGGACTCTAAACTGAACTACGTCTCGCATTTTGCTTTGAACAAGTTCTACACCCATATTCTTATCGCTGAGACTGTAACTTGCACGACATAGAAAGGCCAGAAACCGACGGTACGAAGTTTAAAGCATGCTTGCAAGAGCTAATTGTTAGCCACCATCTGTACAACCACGTAACCACTCCCACTAGATTTCGAAATGCTAATAAGCCATCGATAATGGTTCTTGTGTTCACTAATGAAGAACTCATGGTTGACTGAATAGTTACAAGCACACCACTGAGTCGTAGTGATCATGTTACTCTACTCTTTGACTATATATGCTATGCAGAGTACCCTGAAAAGGAGGATGTTAAAGTACATACTGGCACGCACTACATTGTGTTATCTAAGCTTGTTAAGGATACATCTTGAACTTTCTTAACCGAATGCCCCCCAGGTGTTGCCTGGAAAACCATTACAAGGATGTTTCGCACACTGGTGGCGCATGCGTCGGAACAGAAGTCCTTCCAACCCCAAACCAGCATAAGTCATTTCTGAGAAGCAGAACACGTAAATGTATGTCCCGGAGGGATCTGGCATAGCGAGATCAACAGGACTGCTCGAATGCCAAAACATGTACTGCATAGGTGGCACATCATAACTTCTGTGTGAAAATGATTCGCGAAAACAACGTCAAGCATCAGCAGGTTAATGAAGCGATTCTGCACGAACCGCAAACTTCTGTACAGGTACGGTAACGGCCTTCGAAAGGTGAAGCGAGGGATTCCAGCACTAGTCACGGCTGATGAAGGCACGCGATAAGCAATGGAAGCAGCCGATCTCCTACGGCTTCATTACTCCCAAACTTTCCAGCAGGTAACGAGCACGAATATTCGCCTCGTTTCTACCACTCCGCCTTCGAGTTTAGACAACATCACCTTCACCGCTGAAGCTATGTTGAAGAAGTTGTTATCCTTGCGTATCCACAGTTCTCCTGGATTCGACAACATCCAACAAAAGACACTGCAAACGGTAGCTAGTGATCTAGCCGAACCACTGGCTGTTTTCTATCAGCGATGTCTAGAAGAGAATCATATTCCACCAGTATGGAAGTGAGGGGTCATCACTCCTATCCACAAAGGAGGTAGCTGCACTGATCCTGCCAACTACCGTCCAAAAACATTACTTCCTGTACTATCCAAAGTTGTGGAATCAACCATCGCAGATGCGCTGATGCAGTATCTGGAAAGCCACAAGTTAACAGCTCCAGAACAACATAGCTTTCGTCAAGTGTTAATGTAATACTAACATAGTAATGGCACGTAACAGCTGGACTGAAGCTGTTGATGGTGGAGTAGGAGTCGATGTCATCTACCTGAACTTTTCAAAAGCGTTTGATTGCTTAGATCATCGAATTCTCCTTCAGAAGCTTCGGAACTACGGCATTGGCGACTCAATCCTGAGTTGGATTAACAAC